CCGTAGCAGAGATTCCCCGGCAGCCTGTGGTGAAGACCATGGTGAGGCAGGCTGTGCCCCTGCAGCCCAGGGAGGTCCATGGAGGAGCAGATATCCACCTGCAGCCCGGGGAGGACCCCATGCCAGAGCAGGTGGATGTGCCCAAAGGAGGCTGTGACCCCATGGGAAGCCTGCACTGGAGCAGGCTGCTGGCAGGACCCGTGACGCCGTGGGGGACCCACGCTGGAGCAGTCTGCTCCTAAAGGACTGCACCCCATGGAAGGGACCTATGCTGGAGCAGTTCATGAAGAACTGCAGCCTGTGGGAAGGATTCACATTGGAGAAGTTTGTGGAGGACTGTCTCCCGTGGGAGGGACCCCACGCTGGAGCAGGGGAAGAGTGTGAGGAGTCCTCCCCTGAGGAGGAAGGAGCAGCAGAGACAAGGTGTGATGAACTGACCACAACCCCTATTCCCTGTCCCTCTGTGCTGCTCAGGGGGAGGAGGTAAAGAAAAATCAGGAGTGAAGTTAGCCTGGGAAGAAGGGAGGGGTGGGGGGAAGGTGTTTTAAGACTTGAGGGGTTTTTTTTCCTCATTACCTTACTCAGTTTTGATTGGCAATAAATTAAACTAATTTTCCCCAAGTCGAGTCTGTTTTGCCCATGACGATAATTGGTGAGCGATCTTCCTGTCCTTATCTCGTCATGAGCTTTTTTGTTATATTTTCTCTCCCTTGTCCAGTTGAGGAGGGGAGTGATAGAGCTGCTTTGGTGGGCACCTGGCATCCAGCCAGCATCAAACCACCACAGGGAACTGGGGTTGTTTAGCCTGGAGAAAAGGAGGCTCAGGGGAAACCTTATCGCTCTCTACAACTACCTGAAAGGAGGTTGTAGTGAGGTGGGCGTCAGTCTCTTCTCCCAAGTAACAAGCAATAGGACAAGAGGAAATGGCCTCAAGTTGCACCAGGGGAGGTTTAGCATGGATATTCAGAAAAATTTCTTTACTGAAAGGGCTGTCAAGCACTGGAACAGGCTGCCCAGGGAAGTGGTTGAGTTACCATCCCTGGGGGTATTTAAAAGACATGTAGATGTGGTGCCTAGGGACACGGTTTAGTGGTGGACTTGGCAGTGTTAGGTAATGGTTGGACTTGATGATCTTATGGGTCTTTTCCAACCTAAATGATTCTATGATTCTAAGTCAGGCAGCTGATACTGTAAGAAACCTCTTTTACAGTCCTACAGCTAGAATTGAACTGAGATAATGCATACACACAAACTACTTTCAAGAGAAATGGAGAGCAATTAAACATTCGTCTAGCAGTGACACCTACCTGTACACCAGGGCCAGTGGCAGCTCCAAATGGTGGCCTCATCATAGGCTGCCCATACATAACTGGCTGCTGGGGCATCATGGGTACGCCTGTGCCTGCTGGGGGCTGTAAATTAATGCAGTGTGAGTAGGGTTCTGTGTGAAGAAAGGAGAGCAGCATAACAAAAGAGACTCACCATCCCAAATGCTGCTCCTGGCTGTGGGACAGGTGGAGTACCTCCTGTGGCAGGAACAGCGCTTGCTGGAGGCACAGCTCCCGTCTAAAAAATTTTTTTTAAAAAATTAAAAAAATGCAAGAATCTCTGTAACACCAACTATCTGGAAACCACACAGAGTCTCCAGCATTCTCAAAGTTGTTCTGGAAAGTAGGACTGTGATGGAGCAGATAATACCTAACCTCAAAACCACCATACTTCAAAGAAGGAGAGCTGAATGAGTCCTTAGGCTGAGCAAGGGTGACAGACTCCATTTTGTTCACGAACGGAGTTCATTTACTGAATACAACTGAAGATAGGCCCAAGAAAATATGTACTCTCCTCCTCCTTCTACATAGTGTACGAAAGCGTCCCAATTTCATAATTGATAGCCAACCCACTATTATACTTGTTGTAGCACTGTATTTTAGTAAAAGCTTAAGCAGATTGTAAAGCTAAGGGAAATAACTGTTATAACTAGTTTCCAATTAAGAAATATAGTATTTTTATGCAGTGAGATTCATTTAAGTTAAAGAATAAGTTCACACACTTAAGCCACAATCACAGCCATTACATACTTTACTTAGGAGAGTTCAGTTTATCTTGTTATGCCTAACTTGTTATGATTTTCATTCAAATACCACAAGAAAAAAAAAAAAAGGTGATCTTTCACTAGGATTCAGAAAGACAGAACTGTTAGTTTAGTAGTCTGACTGGATGTACAGCACAACAGCATCTTTGAACAAGGCCATTCCACTTATCTAGCAGAACCTACACATCATCCCTTTTGGTTCCCTTGTCTGTAACTTCCCATGCACAGTCTCCCTATGGCCCTGAAAGCATCCAAGTCTCTCCTTTTCACAGAAGTATATACAACCTAATTAACAACTCTCAAGACACTCAGGAAGCATTCAAGGAAAGGGCTTTCAAATGGTAGTAAGATTTTTAGGAACCTCATTACTGCTATCATATGGCCTAAGTATATTGGCACAACTTCTCAAGCTATTACAGAAGCTGAGTCTCCACATCCTTACCGCCTACCCTGAGTCAGTTATATTCCACCATGCTTGGAGAGCAGCTAGCACACTTTCAGTTCAAAGGACAGTACATGTCTCGAGATATGCTGACTACTCCCTGAACAGTTGACTTCTGTGAATGCTGCATTTAGTGCCCTTGGTTGATCTTTGCTTCCAGGCTAAAATATGCCGGTTTCTTAGGAAACTGGAGACAAGTCAAGATAACCTGTTCCAGATGTATTAATCAGCTAACACCCTACAGTTCCTGGCTAATAATTCTGAACCTCTTTTCCAATCTGAAGGCTTTCTGGGGACCATTTCAATTAAAAGCTGTACTGTGCTAGCAGCACAGCTGTCCCCAAACTAAAACCATCATCTGGACATTCGGCAAGGAATAGAAATACACAGATTAATGACATCAGATGCAGTGATCTGACTGCAGCCACAGGAGCATGTTGTAGCTCAAAATCCAGTTAGGTAGATGCCAAGAAAATGGCCACACAGACTGAATCTGCTTTTGCCTCAAAGGGTCACTCAAGGGAATGGGCTTTTATGAAATTCTGCTGATTTTAATCCAGAAGGTGAAAGGTCACAAGGAAGGGAAGAAGTAACCAAAACTTAAGTGGTTCAACAGTGACGTGAAGGAAAGCTACATTTTGGTCTCCACATTTATTTTTCCTGCAGACCTGGTTTGCTTTTGTTTCAAAAAATACCTAAGTGCATGATTTTGAAGAAATATATGTAGCACCCATGTTTCATAAAATACTATCAAAACCACCCAGCTTTCCAGGAAGGCTAGTTACTTATCAGATGGTAAAACCACTACAAGATCAGGCTGATGTTACAGAAGTTAGAAATTTCAGGTAGTACAAGTCATCAGATAGTTCACATCCAGGTAAAGCAAAGACAGTTTCAAGCCATTACTTTCAAGCTTACAGCACAGAAATGGTTAATCACTACTACCATATTCAGCACATTGCCTGAGAATTGTCTGCTGGACAGACAGTCCAAGAAGAGCCATGTTAGGTAGCTTCTAGCTAGTTTTAAGCCAGCAGTAGTAACTGTAGTGCAGGTGAGGTGCTGTTAGTATCTTCATGTTTAGTAAGTAAGTACAATAAGAGATAAAAAAAATATTCACTTACACTGTACAGTATTGCCCAGCCTTTCTATTAAGAAAAAAGTTGATGTTACAACTAATACACTTAATGCAGTACTAAGTTCAGGGAATTCTTCTATCTTCCATAAGGTTAAGGAACAAGCTGGAACATGCTTAGAGTCACATTAACATCTAGCTGTGGCAGCAGGGAACTGAACTGGTCATGCTCCCCCTTAACAGTCCTTTCCTTCCCTTCCCAACCCAACTTTTTTCAAATGGAGGCTGTTTTATGCCCTGTGCGACTTTGATGAGATGAGATATGACCCCTCTTCAGTTTACTCTTGTAGCTTATTCATGATCAAGTTGCTCTTGTACCAAATTTAGATTTTTAGCTCAATTCAACCCTCTTCTCTCAAAGTTAGTGCCTTCTGATAGATTTTACAGGGCAATCTTAATTTTCCAACAGACTGCTTTACTCAGCTAAACAAGCTACCCACTTCTAATCTAACATCAATCACCTGATCAGTATGAATACTGTTTAGTCTTTTGATCTACTTCATTCAGGAAAGCTTGAGAAAAACCTATTTATTTTCTCTCCTTCCAGTACTTCAGCTTTGGATCCATACTGCTGTCTTTTGGGCAATCGACCTGGGCCTGGTGTGGGCAAGACCTATACGGCTAACCTGCCCACAGATACTAAGCGTACATGTAGCGTAACCTCTTGACACATATGCTAGTGTATTTTCATTGACCTGAACTCAATGATTTATTTATGCCAGCTGTAAATCTGGTCTTAAAAGTGTGACTTGAAACAATCATATCATTTATACAGAAGCAAATTCTTTAGGTGAAGTAGGCAGGAGCAGTGCCTACACGTATGCTTGCATAGTCTCATAAAATATTGAGGTTTCGGTACCAGTGGTATCAATGGATTAGCCACCTACCAATGGACCACCTGGGACACCACCAGTTGACCATGTTGCAGGTGCTACTTTTGGCTGCCAGTTGGCTCCTCCTGTTAACTTTTTCTCTCCAGCATTCCACTGAAGGTCTCCCCTAATAGAGAGGGAGAGAGACAGAGCTATTATTTACATACCCTCACAGTGGAAATGAAAACCAATTGTAGTATACATTAACATTAGGCTTGCAGCTACATTAGTTTATGGTGTATGCAGTTTAAGTTATTAACAGAAAGATACACTTCTAGTGCCACTCATTTTCAAGGGTTGTTAGCAGTAGACACCAGTATACTCTATACTGAAGTCGGTTACATGGTTATGGCCTTTGTGGTGAGAATTAAAGAGAAGTTTTACTTAGTATTGACCAAAGGTAACATATTATTGCATATACCCTTGCAAAGTAGGAAGAGGGACTGCTACTGCCTATTCTACTGGGACCAGGCAGTAGAACTGCCTGTTAGAAGTCTTTGAAAGGTCATTTCATTGCTGGAAATCTTGCTCAGACAGCTGAAGGAGGAAAGCATTCAGTTCTGAAAAAAGTTGATAGATACAAGAGAAACAAATCATTCATAGAAGAAAAGGGCTGCTGCAAAACCAGATTTTGTTTGAGGCTGCTCTATCCAGAATAAGCTACACCATTTGAATGAAGTAGACTGAAGAAAGCTAAGTTTTGGGGATAAATGTGATGATATTCCTCCTATCATCTCCACAGAGGCACAATACTTTTTGAAGTACACACATCATAAACTGGTCTTGCATACAGAGAAAGACTTAGCACATAAGTAACCAATCAGTTAGATTAAGAAGACAGATTCAAAAATAAATGCAACGCTGTAAGTATTTCTTCTTGCAAAAAGAAGCTTTTCACTGCATGGAATGAACTTCTTTTCTATTTTACAAGTATTCCAATGCCTACACGATAAGCACATCCAGCGTCTGTAAAAAGATAACAAAACTATTACATATTAGCCTAGATTACTGAGGACAGCTATACAATTTATTATCTGGACTATTTGTTCATTTTAAGTTGTTTGGAAATCAGCTATCCAATATGAAGACAGTGATTTACAGAATTTTTTTTTTTAAGACTCAGATTCAAGCCAGCAAGTTTAAAAGCTATATCAGGAACAATTAACCTTAATTACTCAGTGAACCTGTATAGAATAGAATCTTTTATCCAGAATTTTTCTGAACTTTTTTTGGGGGGGTAGGGAGCACATGACCAATTCATTGATTCCTAGTAAACACTGAAATAGATGTAAGACTATACTACAGACTTGAAAACTTTTTTTTTTTTAAAACAAAGTTGAACTTACTTTTTTGAAGTGGTACCAGAAATTCCAAGATCTGAGAATTGTAAGGAAAAGAAAAGGAAAAAAGTCATGTGTTTGTTTATTAAATTAAGCATGTCAAAGTAACAGCTCATATTTCATTGCATGTGGGCTTGTACAGAGTAATAAAGTTTTGAATGTCTTCATTTATACAGCATCAGAGAACTGGGCACATCTACCTCTTTCTTCAGGACAAGCTTTTAATGAACACTGCAGATGTCTTATACTTGAGGAAGCCATTTTTGCTCCATAAGCAATCCAAAGTAACAATATATTTAGGCCTACAAAACGCTAAGTTATTTAAGAGGACCAAAACTATTTACCATGATGACAAAACTAGTTTCTGTTCCTCATTATAGACACTGAAATAAAAAGCTATTTTTATACACATAAATCTGAATGTTACCTGGAAGTTTTGCACTGTTTTATCTGCTCTATCATACATGGGAACTCCAAGCAGTTTCCTTAATTACTCTTCGGAAGAAGTATTAAGCTAAGTTTTAAAGAATACTCTTCTCATATGACCGGTACAAGTCCTGTAAGTCACAAATTGCTAAGTTTGATTTTCTCCGCCAAACTCAGATATACCAAATGACTTGCAGAAGAGGTTTCAAGTGATTAAGAGTCCTGATGACTTCTAAGCATGGTAGTTTCCCCCCACACCTAACAGAAGAGTATGCATCATAAGATCAGTTATATCTTTGCTGTGGTGTGTTTACATATACTAACAGAGTATTCCATTTATACAATTCTCTGAAGTACAACTTCAGTAGCATTATACCTTAGCCTAGGTGGGCCTCTGTTAGGTTTTTTTGGGTGTCTGTGGCTCCTGATCTCTAGTTATAAAGGCTCTAGCCCTTTTCCTACTACAGGAAAGAGAACATTTTTTAGTTTAGCATTTCAAGAACACGTTTTGGAAAGTTCACTGTCTGAGAAAAGGTCTGTTCTTGGCTGTTATGCACACCTCACCCCACTGCTGTTCCTCCTCTCATTAAGCAAGAAGTCAGCTATTTGTGTCCACCAGCTTTTCTGCTTAAATTCCACAGTGCTATCAGGTGCTTTGGACAGTTTTCACCTTTCCATCTGTTATTACACAGGGGCACATCCATTAAGAGTCTAATGTGCCTCTGAATGCACCTGGGACGTTCACATGTTACAAATCGCACCTACCAAACAGATCCCATTACTTGATTCAGATCCTGGGCACAAAGAGGGACAAGTTACGAGCCCAGACTACCAGCTATCTGAATCAGGCCTTATACCTGCCCATAGCTTCCCCCACCTCCCCAGAGAAACAGGAGAACACTGAAAGAAGCAACTTAAAATAGACAGGTATTTGGTTCCACAGACGAGAAACACAGCTGTATGCCACACCACTTAAAAGCGAAATTTGTCACTTACTGCCTACTAAGTTTGCAAGAGATGAATCAAGATCACTTCCGAGGCCTTTGCTTGTGGCTGAAGCAGTGACTGTTGCTGTGGCTGAAGGTGCTATAGACTGACCAGAAGGAACCATAGTTGGCATAAGAAGATCACCTAGGCCATCAAACACTGGAGGTGAAAGGAAAATGGGTTAGAAACAGCCACTGTGGTAAGAAATATGCTACCTGCAACTTCACTGTTGCTCCAACAAATATAGCACAGACAACCACGTCACAAGTCTTACCAAAGCACAGTTTGACATTAAAAATAATGCCAACAAGGGCATGCATTTCATTTTACTAGACACTGAATGTACAGTAATCCTGAAAGAGCTATACCAATGAGAACTAATATGACAGGACATGCCTAAAAGGACTTTAATTGGAGCATTGAATCTACATAAATACAGCACCACTTCCACATGATACTATTTTTAATTACAGCCATCCTTAACGAGATGTCAGAAGTACACACGTTTTTCAGGAGATATTGATTTAAAGACTTTTAAAATTGACATCTTGCAGCAAACACCAGTCAGAATTACTGTGGCAAAGGCAGTCTTACACCTTGACATCTTATGGCAATAGGACTGAAAGTCCCAGGATGTTACTATTCACTTGCAAGCAGCACAGAGTCGGGAAAACCTACTAACATCTTATGAGATCAGAAGGAACCAGAACCATCCACACTGACAGAGCTAGCCTCCTTAGACCAGTCATCTAACTCAGAAGTTCATTTTTTAGTTTCCTTGAAGTCAAACCGCTTGGTACATCTCATGCCAGCATTCTATCTTCTGATCTGTATTTGAGGTACATGCTAGTGTTAAGTCAACAGGAAGGGGTAGCATGTGCACTGGCAAGCAACCAAATAACCAAGCAGCAGTACTACTTCAACCTTTTTTTCTTGCACAGTGGCAGAACTCACCAATTTTAAGTTTGTAGCAAGGACCCAGCATGAAAAATATAGAATGGAAGAGATACAAACAAAATGATAGCAGTGATGAAAGTTTAAGCTTAGTCAGGCAAAGAACACAACCTCAGTCTCCATTTTGTGTACCTTCAGGTGCCATGCAAGCTCAAGAACAGCTTCAGCAGCAGCAGCAAGACTACTAGCCTATATACTTGATTTACAGAACAGTGTTTTCCTTGAGTTATTCCTGATTCATGCAAACAAGCACATGCAAGGATGATGTTCACACTAGTTTGTTTTTTACTAACATGGTAGAATAAAAAATGGGTACAGAGAGCTCTTGGGCACACGCCAGCCTGAGTTCTTCCAGCACAGAAGGAACAGGGAAATCACTTATATTGTTTGCACTCAGACCCTAAATATGGTGTCATTAACTCATCTAACACAAAACACATTAGAAAATTCATAGGAAGAAACCCTGTGGCTCACCTGATGCATCAAATGAACTGCCAGTCGTTGGAGCTGTTGTCCCAAAAGCTGCATCAAAGTTAGGCTGTAGTAAGCTGGTTTGAGCTGGAGTGACTGGGGATGGTGATGGAGAGGGAGCAATAAAAGAACCTCCAAAGCCTTGAAAAAGCCACATAAGAGAGGTGTGGATATTAGAGTCAGTCTTGCCGGGCTGTGTTTAACAGAAGCTCAGTCTATATACGGCAGAATGATAGAGACAATTCTTACTACACCATTGTAAATAACTCAGTACTACACAAGCATCCTTGGTATGCCAGGTATGACCCAGGGAATTTAAACTTTTGTGAGAAACATCAACAAAAACTTTGTTTGTTATTTAGATTTCTGCAGAGGCAGACCAACTGAGTAGAGAACACAATTCTTCCAGTACTACACCCTATAGTTCTAGGTAAGTAATCTCACAGGCAGAATGCAACAAACAAGAATTAGTTGGGGGCGGGATGAGGACAAAGAGAAACAGAGGACTAACTTGAGAAAAGCATATGATCGCCCGTCAACTACTTCGGAATCTCAATCCAGAAGAAAGTGTTTTGCTAATCCAGTTTAGTCTCTCTCACCATCTTAAAACATCCTGGTCTCCCTCGTCAAGGTGTCTTCAAACTGCTGCCCACTGCCATGCCAAAGCAGGATCAACAGCATCCACAAATGAACTGCTTGTAGGCTGGAGAATCTCCATGATTAAGATTAATGCATGTATTATAAATCCTATATTTATATAAATAAACACTACTCATGGAAATTTTCTAGCCTACAAGCAATGCACTCCCATGCTTGACTATTCTTAAAATCCCTCCCTTGTCCACTATATAATTTGATCTCCCTTGCAATTTAAGCTTATTTGTATTATCTACAGACTCTGGAAACTGATTAAATATGCAAAGACTCCATCAAAATGAGAACAGACATATGACACCTTCTCAATTCTCTTTAGTCTACAAGCCATTCCTCTTGTTCAATTTCTTCTTGACAGTGATGTCCGAGACCTCTATACTACATCTTCAGTCTCTCAGCCTTGTTTTATTCCCAGCTGCCCTTGCACAGAAAGGATCACATCTGAGCTCAGTGCTCCAATCATGACTACACAAATACAGCAGCAAGAGCATGCTCCAAACCTGCAGGCTGTACTTTCCCCCCCCGTATCAGCGTAGGAAGCATATTATTTTGCCACAGATGAGCACAAGACAGTGACGAGCCAGCACTCTACCACTGCCTTTAGTTTCTTTTCAGGGAATGTCCTGCCTTACAGTCTACTGTCCTTATTTGTCCAGCTAATCATTGCTGCCTATGGACAGAAGCTTGAACTAATTTGAAATTTCTCCTTTAGATCATTTTCTCCAATTTGTAGAGACCATTTTAAGTCCTAGTCTCATCCAAAGTAAATACAGATCTTTTCATATGGGTGAAATCTGAAAAATTAAGCATGCTACTCCAACAGTCACATTGTTGAAATCAAGTACCAAATAGAACTTATCAATTTAGAAGAGACCATCTATTTACATTAGACCCTTATCACTACTTTCTGTCTTTTTACTGAGACAGTTTGTACCACTCTTGCTTAAGCAACTAATTCCTTTCTTCCTCTTCTTTCTTCAGCTTTCTTTAGTTACCAGTTCATTGGGAAGTCAGCTTTTTAAAAACAGGAAAATAAAGAAAATTCTGAAGATTTTCTAACCACCTTTTTATCCAAACCGCTTTCCATGGTCACAGGGTATCTCAATTACAGCACATTACACAAATGTCTTACAGTGACAACAGCACATTTCCCAGCTATGGAATCAAGCATCTGCCCGACATTTAACTACAAGACAGGCTACAGCTCAGCATAAAGAACTTGTGCTCAAATTGTGAGCAGCAATTATATCAAATGTTAAACTGTGAGATCTCAGACACTCTCCCCGAAAACTTTGCTTTCTCAGAGAACAAAGTAAGACTAAACACCAAACACTTAACAAATGTTGAAATGATAGGAAAAATTTATACACACACACATACACTCAGTGAAAGCATCAGACTTATCTACATGTCAGGCAGATGCATACTTTAGAAGAGAAGCGAGTCAGTCGTAACTAATTGTATTCAAACCAAAACCCTCAGTAGGGAAATGAGTGGTGTGCCATCACCAGATCCTGGGCACCAGGCCAGCAACTTGCTGTACCACCAGCAGACAGGTTTTAGTTGTGGAATGCCTGGCCTGTATGAACAAATACACTGGCCCCAGACACAGCTGGGAGAGGACAGCAAACCTGACCATGCGCTACAGGTCTAGGAGAACACAACCTCATTAGAAACACTTCATAAATTATGTCCTCCAGCTGAAGCCTGACAGATTGCAGGCAATGACCGAAAACACTCAGATTGTAACTTAAACTGGTTTTCAGATGCTACCGACCACAGGCACTGGCTGGAGCCATGGAAGCAGGAGCAAGAAGTAGAGCAGCCTGCTTTCTGCAGTCCAAAGTAAAGAGCATTTCAAAAGCCTGTGTAAGCTTCCCTATGTTTCTTAGGCCTGCTTCAGGGTTCTGGCACCAAGAAGCCCTTATCATGCAAATCCTACTCCACAGCAAGTGACATGCTCACAGATGCTAACTCTGAATCTGGACAAATGCACTGGGATCAGAGATCTGCCCTCAGCTCTCCAAGGTCTGTTCTTGAAGTTTGTCACGGGTAATTTAGGTTGGAAGGGACCTCTGGAGGTCAGCCAGCCCAACACCCTGCTCAAAGCCTGTCTAATCAAATCAGGTCGCCCAGAGATTTGCCTTGACACCTCCAAGAGGAGAGATTTCACCGCCGCTCTGGGAGGCCTGTTGTCATACCTGACCAAACTCATGGTAAAAATAAATTAACTGGAATTTCCAACCCACATTGCCTCTTCTCCTATCACTGTGTACCTCCAAGAAGAACCTGGGTAGTCTTCTCTGTATCCTCCAGTGAGGTAGTTTAGACACCTATAAGGTCTCCCTTTTGCCTTCTCTTCTTAAAGCTGAATGGACCCAGTTCTCAGCCTCTCCTCATAGGTCATGTGCACCAGTCACCATCTCGGTGGCCCTCCACTGAACTCACTCTGGTACATCCTGATCACCCACATCAAGAGATTGTCTAACACATTCTGGAAGTTCCTTGGATTACCTACACCCAGCCATATTGATCTTCCAGCACATACTACGGTGGTTAAAGTTGCCCATGAGTGCCAAAGCCTGTGATAGTGAGGCTTTCTCCAGCTGCCTAAAAAAGGCTGCTTCTACTGCCTCTTCTTGATCAGCTGGTCTGTAGCAGACACCTACTATAACACCACCAGTGCTGGCCTGTCCTCTGATCCTTACCTACAGACTCTCCTGGTTCATCACCTGTCCCAAGGCAAAGCTCCGTGCATTCAACTATCTGCAAACAAGTACTAATCTCCAAAGAATCAGGCCAGAAGTGGGTTGACAAGATACAGGGATGACAAAGGCAGCTGACTGCAGCAATTCCTAAAGCACTGGAGCCATCTAAAGACCCTGCACTCAGTTAGATCCTTTGAATTTCCTGAGTGAGAACAAGGAGCTCGGCAGCAGGGCATGACACAACTTTCATTTGTAAGATTCTCTTTAGAAAGTTTTGTAAGTTTTTGCAAAGCCCCACAAAGTGTCTGTTTCTCCAACTACAGAAGAGAGTTCTCTTCAGCTTCAGATGAAGTTTGCATGATGATCAGTCTTAATTCCATGGCTTCTGGCCTCTTGTGCAATTTAACAGCAACACTGGGCAGAGAAGCCATAAAAATGCTTTAACAGATTAAGTTCCTAGTTGTCTAGGGCTTGCACAAGACCCAGAGTGAATCTGCAGAAACAGCAGCAACCAAGTTACTGAGATGTGTTGTCTGGACATCCTCAACTGCCCAATTTTGAGGTTGTTTTTACTTACACATTCAAGTAAAATTTCTTGTAAGAACATGCTACTGGAGTACGTACTGGGATATGCATGCACACAGTTTAACTGGATAGAAAGATCTAGAAGGGAAAATGGCTAGACTATCGTATTTATCAGCATAGTTCTAGTCTTGACTGCAGAGAGGCTTAGAAGAGTAGGAAATGTGGTGGTATTTTTTTCCTAAGTGAGACAAGAAGAGACTAGCAACTTATTTGACAGCAGAACACTTAAGACAATGACACATAGTAACTATACTCATAACATTATGCATATAAACAGTACAACCAAGCATTCATAAAACATGAAGGAGAGCCTTCAGCCACCATATTAAATCTGGACAGTCTTAAATTTAAAACTGGATTACACTGCAGGCTATACATCTGCCATTATCCAGGGTGAACAAATGCTTACCAATATGCTGTGATGTTTACAGACTCTCTATATCTGCCAAATAGATATTCAAGTCTACTTGGAGCCCTTTTAAATATATATAACAAAAAAAATTAAAAAGATTAAAATCACCTGTTCACCCCAATGGCTTCAAGTCTGCTTGAGTGTTTAGACTTATGACAACCCTTTTATAATTTAGGTTTTGATTTAATGTGACTCATCAGATTCAGAGAGCATACTGCTGAAGTTTAAGCCATCTGGAGCATAATTCCTACTGGAATTTAAGCTTAGTTACAGATAAGGACATAAAATATTTTGTATTGTAATGTTTGCATAAGCAGAATTAGCTTCTTCCCAACATCTTTGCACCCAGTCCCCCGATAATGCACACAACCACAAATGACCAGTACGTTTCAGAATCTCCTAGTTAAAGCCTGACCTCCAGCCTCAAGCTACCCATAGGCTAACACAAAGACCTAGTGAAGCAATATTAAAACAAAAGGTGGTCTTCTACCTTAAAATCCTGAAGCTGCCTGTACTACAGCTTTAGTATGCATTTATGCATTATATCCCACTAAGTAGCTGGCTTGCCAGCACTGGAACCGACTGGGAATGGACATAAACATTATTATTCTGTAGACTACTTCTACATTCCTGCAGCACAACTAGGTGATGCCCACACTTAGAGCAGGTACTAGCAAAAGTGTCCTCTTCTGAGATGGCTTCAGCATGCAAGCACCCAGCTGTATCAACTCACCGCACTTAGAGCAGATTACATACTGAGGTATCTCACTTATGTTATTTATTTCTCATACAATGGAGCATCTCTTACGAGCACATAAAGGCAAAACATACACAGTATTGGACTTCTGATATATAGTGTAAGCTGGCATGAGAGACCTGCAGACATACAGACAGCAACTAACGTCAGGGCCCCCCATACCTACAGTGGTTAGCAGTTGCATAAAGGGCTGACTATCACTCCAGCTCAGAACTAAAGCCACAAAGATACAACATGAAGCTTTGAATCATCTTTGAAGTTCATGAAGAATAACCTGCCAACCAATTCTACTGAACAAATTCACCTTTCAGAAACATGGGGGAAACTAAGCCAAGTCTTCCTCAAACCAGAAGTGCATCAGTTTCCTTTAAACCTGAGGAAGACATGCTGGGATCTTTCTTACTCTCTACAAACTTCAAACTGGGATGGGGAGGAGTCACAACTCTTTAGCACAATCACTATAGCCACTAAAACACATGGTATAGCACGAATTTTGGAAAATGGTACAAACAGAATTCAGCTGAAGCTGCTTATCTGTAGAATGCAGACTACAACAATACAGTTATTTGACCCTTGAAATAGGTGAGACAGTGATGCCACATTCAGCACTAGCAGAGACCTCACCTCACCCAGTATGAGAGGGTCTCTATCACTTGTATGCTCTTGTGCTCAGAAAAGCTCTCTCATCACCCCACTCTCCCTGGCTAAATGCAAGGCTGCTACCAAGTCATCCATTCAAGCTCCTAACATTTAAGTGTGTAACCTGCCTCAATTAAATCAACCAAGAAATGAAGATGAATTAGCAGTAAGGAACAAGTAGCACAGCCTTCAATACTGCTTAACATAACTAATGCTACAGTCAGCCAAAGAAACTTTATGTAAACACTCCTATTCACTGCATAGTACTGAAAAATAAGGCTCATGTAGGAGATAGGAAAACGAAGAGCATGGGAAGAAGATAATCTAGGAAGTTAACTTGTACTTCAGTATAGTGCCTCCATTACAAATCACTGCAGTTTTAATTTGTCTAAAGGACTAAGAAATCTTGTGAACAAGAATTTTATTCCCCTGCAAAAGTCCACTTACACCCAAGGAACATAAAATATTTCAAAGACCATTTCTTAGTTTTGCCTTAAAATAACAAGTTTTTAGAAGTTCTTTATTACCAGCAAGTAGGTCTGCAGAAGCTGAGGAACTAGAAGCAGCCTGGGTTGCGGGCTGGGGTTCAGGAACACTACTTCCAAAAGCATCTAAAGGGAATTCCAGAAAGCATCAAGAAAAGGTAAAGAGTTCAATATTAAATGCATCAATTCATCACTTATCATAAACAAAAGATGTCAAAAGGATAACCACTTCATTCATCAGAAGAAGAAAATTAAAGCGCTTGGCCATCTTTATTGCAGAGCAGTACGATGGATGCAAAGCTCAGGTGGAAAAAAGGAGGTGCAACAAACCAGCACTTGAAAGAAATCTCTTCTTTTAGTTGGGCCTCTTCTCAGAAAACCCATACAAACCACAGCATTCTTGATGAGAGGGTTAAGCCCTTTGGAAATGAATGCATCATATGAGAGACTGGAGTAATTATAGCCAGAATCTACTGACTCACATTCAGTCTTTTTAGAGGAATATTTCACTAACGTTTGAAAATTCACTACTTCTAAGCAACATTCCTGTTCTACAACACTCCTAGAGTTGGCTGCACCCATCCTAATTTCCACCTTGTCAAATCCAACAAAGATCCTCTGATTCAGATATGCAGTTTGAGACACGTCACCCTCAGAACTTCAGCTGCTTTGAGAAATGGAACTGAGAGAAAACAACATGACCATAGAAAGTTGCAAAGAAGAAAAAAAAAACAAAACACAACAGACTTTCATTGGACCTCTGAGGAAGAGCCATACATGCATTGATTAAAGACAGAATGGCAAGTCTCATGACAACAGAATGACAACACTGACAACTTATTTGCAGTTCATTATTGTGCAATATGAAGAACTGGACATGCTAGTATGAGCTGTGATGCTACACAGAAAAGCTGTGAGAAGGGGAAACCGCAGCTTTAGCCAAGTGCAAAGGTAATTAGAATGAAGTGATTCAACTCTGAAGTGGTGAGGAAAGAAAAATACCCACCACCAAATAGGTCAATCACACCTGAAGAATCCACCTTTGCTGGAGAGGCAGTGGGTAGAGGAGAGGGGGCTGCAAACGCATCCACTGCAGTAAGCATAGGATAAATAATATTTAGTATCAGCAAGGCAACAATGATAGCTAAATATTTCAAAGCCACATGGGCTCCACCAGTTAGAATCACAGGGTCGGTAAATTCAGGTAACAGTCTTCAGAACTGCAAACAGAAAGTGTTACATTTCTCACACAGCAACTGAAAACCACAGTACTTTAAAGAAAGCATTGTTTATTAAGAATTTTCTTACACTTAGAGGAACAGTGTCAGCCACTTCATGGTTTGCATCTTCAGCAGCTGCTAATCTTGTGACCAAAGTGTCAACAAAGCCACAACTTAGTACTTCAGCTTAAAGATGTAAATTGGCAGTAAGTCTTTTTTTGGTTTTTTGTTGGTTCTTTTTTTTTTTTTTTTTAACTCTTGAGGGGAAAAAAAAAAGAAGTATGTCTGTAGGATGGCCTGTGAAGACAAGCACTCACCAGACAAGAGATCAGCAGTGAGAGAACTCTCAGGCACAGGAGAAGCTCCATGCGGCGGAGATGAAAAAGCATCTTCCGGAAATGAAAGAAAAAGGAGAAGTAAGTATCATTCAAGTCAGTTTACACCATTACACACCATCAAAGCAGCACAGTATTGGAAGAATCCTCTCTTTACCTGTACCAAAGAGATCTATGCTAGGAGTAGCATCTGGTTTAGGTGCTGCAGGTACATCAGGAACAGACTCAAATAAATCTAAGGCCAAGAACATAACACGTCTTTAACTCATTTTTGAAAGGCAGGACTGAAAACAGAATTTTCAAGTTGTGCACATCGTATTTAGAGTTAATAGGCTCTCTGGTTTGAAAGCCTAGCACACAGCATGCATGCAACAACAATTTGTTTGTTCTGTACTCCTGACAGATCAATCCACCAGAATCCAAGAGTTAAAAACAAAATTACCACCAAAGATATCTAGAGCAGGAGGAGCGGAGGTGGTGGCGGTAGCAGAAGTGGTGGCAGTAGTGGTAGGGGCAGTAGCCGTAGTAGCAGTAGCAGCAGCAGCAACAGCAGCAGCTGGAGAAGGAGTTGTTGCAGGAACTGGAGTGGCTGCACTAGTTGTAGGGGTAACTACAGGAACAGCAGTCTCTGTTGGCTTCATAGCAAAGAGGTCCAGCTCAGGAGCAGCCTCTGCACTACCTTCGGATGGGGCAAAGGGGTCTTGTAAAAAGGAGAGGGGAAATATATGTGTATGCATACTTAGGATCAGTGAGGGAGGAAGTCAAGAACAAAGCAACTACAGGCAATGCACATACTGCAAATACACGCACGCACACAAAGGAGGTTGCTCTAACATCTAGCCTACTTATCCAGACATGTTACTTATGTTTTTCCAAAATATAGACCATCTGAAAGGCTGAGCAGTCTAGTTACTAAAGGGCAGAACTTTCAAAGGCTGTTTGACAAGGCTAAAAAAAAGACAGGAAACATGACAAAAGAATATCCAGTTTAAGAGGTTACTGCTTACAAAACTCAGCACTGCCAGAATAATTTATTAGCACTACTGAATAAGCATAAAGTTACTGGGAATTAGAAACAGGCAGTTTTATTAAGCATGCTCTTCAGTCTAAGGTTTGTTTCGACCAATTGCAAACACTATGAAAATTTCAGAAAAACACACTGCCATGTAGTTTAAACAACAACAAAAAAAAAGCCAGCAAAACAAGACACTATCTAATGACATAAAACCCACCATTTCCTGAACATGCATCAAGAGCTGCTGCTACAGGGGTTGGGGTAGCTGGTGCTGCTGCCCCTTCAGCTGCTGCAGGGGCTTCCCCAGGAGAAGCTGCAAAGGCATCTTGGGTGCAGTTTAAGAACAGAAATTAAAAGGGAAAAGGATAAAGAGAAGAAAAAAATAGTAAAAGAACCAAGTTAAATTGCACAGGTAGATCCCCTTATACAACATGAATGTTGTTACTCTGACAGCAAGACAAGTCATGCAGCGCAAAACGCTTTGTCTCCCCCAACCCCACATGAGCAGGTTCTAGACAGGGTTTGAAGATGGAGCTTCTCAGGTTGCCTGCAGGAAGTACAGTGAGTGTAAAAGGAGGCATTATTCTCATTGTATAAGGGTTCAGAGCAGCATGCTCATGTACTACCCAAAATTAACTAATGAAGAAAGAGCAAAGGTATGGCAGTAAGTTGGTGTTAATAAAGATATTAAAAACTTGCATGCTCAAAGCCCATAATACATGTGATTAATCTGCAACTGTGATTTTATTTGCATAGTGCTTTGCAAACTTAAGCACTGTTACGAATAATAGTCGAATTACATTGGCAGAGATCTGCATCTACCATTTCTAGCTTTTGAGCCAAGTCAGTCATGCAATGTCTGAGAAATTGAACTTACTTGTTTCTTAACAGTATTCCAATCAGATCTTTCTGAAGCCATAACCTGATGCATAGGTTATATTTACTCAGCTTGCTTCTGACAGATCAAGAACATTCATCTTAGCTGCTGGCCAGCCATAGTTTGTCTCTCCTTTGAGGATCACCTCTAAAGCCAACCAGTCAAGTCAGGGAAAGCAACTGTTTTGGGCTTTTGGAACAACTTGCTCATGAGTTTTCTTTGACTGTTTTTTTGTTTGCCACTTGCTAAGTGGTATGTTTAAATTTCAAGCTCTGAATTTTTACAGCATCATTCCTAGGCTTAAACCACCATCTGTAGCTCTTAATTCCATGAAGTAGTCCTAATGGACAGTGCCATTTGGACTATCCTCATAGGCAAGCATTTTCTTCACAAAAAGACTGCACAATCGAGATTAAATACTTCAAGATGTTCATAAAGGCCATTTTTCTACTGCTACAAGGTTAGAAATTTAAAAAAAATTCTGTTGGGGAATACTGCAATTGCACTGTCAAACTAGTACTGGAAAAAGTTTAACATGCTTTAACTTGAGTGTCAATTTTAAAATGAAACCAACCATTTTAAAAACAAGTTTGTGCCACTTAATCCAAAAAGCTCAACAGAACATGCATTGAAACTTCAACAGAAGACATGAAAGCCAATTAGTCTTGTATAATAGAATTAAAATGAGTTAGTAGCAAAAAAAGGCCTGCTAATAAGCCATTTCATATATAATTCTATTTTTCACGTCACAGGTTACAACAACAAAACTGGATGGCAGTTGTCCAAGTTAAAAAAAAAAAATCATAATTAGTCAAACATCACAGTATTGTATGTATACCCGACACTGGCATACACCACGTAGAAGAAATTCAACACAGAACTGGACTGAAGAGTTTTGAATTATACTACTTGAGAATACTCTATGCATATGGTCATGTGTGTTGGGTTTTGCTCTACAGGGCCAGCTTTCAGATGGAGGGTCACCCTGGGCTCTTTGAAAAGAATACATTTCTATCCACACAAGC